TTTTCACTCCATTCCTACTGCTTTTCACTCCATTCCTACTGCTTTTCTGTAGGCTCTGCACAGAGGAGGACAGGGTAAAACCAAACATCCTCTGGGCTTCACCATACACATCAAGAAACAAATACTGACCATTTTCCAGAGAAATTGTCATTTGAGCAGGATGGAGAGACTTTTCATAGAATCCCAGAATATCCTGAGCTGGAAGGGACCCACAAGGACCATCCAGTCCAACTCCTGGCCCTGCACAGACACCCCAACAATCCCACCCTGTCCCTCAGAGCGTTGTCCAAACGCTCCTGGAGCTCTGGCAGCCTTGGGGCCGTGCCCACTGCCCTGGGGAGCCTGGGCAGTGCCCCAGCACCCTGTGGGGGAAGAACCTTTCCCTGAGATCCATCCCAACCCCCCTGGCACAGCTCCAGCCCTTCCCTGGCTCCTGTCCCTGGTCCCAGAGCAGAGCTCAGTCCCTGCCCCTCCACCTCCCCTGGGCAGGAGCTGCAGCCCCCGAGGAGTCTCCCCTCAGTCTCCTCTGCTCCAGCTGAACCAGCCGAGTGCCCTCAGCTGCTCCTCAGACCCTTCCCCATCCCCATGTGCTTCTTTTGGACACTCTCCAACATCCTTCTGACATTGATTAGATGTTTCTGACACTGTGGCCCCCAAACAGCCCCCAGGACTCGAGGTGAGGCCGCCCCAGGTCAGAGCAGGGTGGGACAATCCCCTCCCTGGCCCGGCCGGCGATGCTGGGCCTGATGCCCCCCAGGACAGGGTGGCCCTTTGGGCTGCCAGGACACTCTGCTGACTCAGATCCAACTGGCCACTGACCAGGACCCCCAGGGCCCTTCCCTCCAGCCTCTCATTCCCCAGTCTGTCCCTGCATCCAGGGACAGGGATCCAGGACCTGCCCTCGTTAAACACCCCAGGGCTGGGGACTGCCCAGCCCTCACACTTGTCAGGGTCTCTCTGCAGGGCAGAGTTTATTTGGTATGGAGGTAGTATTTGTCCTATAAACAAATTCCTGATCCTATGGACACATCATCCATGAGAACTGGGCAGCTCGACACAGCAGCAATTGTCTCTCAGACGATTCAGCATCTGTGTGAAGCATTAGCAAAATGAGTAGCTGAGACTTCAAGCAGATGCAGCCTATTTAATTATGGTCTGTGACTGCAACTGAGCTAAAAGAAACACTCAGCTCCAGGAAAAAAAAAAAAAACAACACAAAACTAAGGAGGCACAGACACCAAAGCATCCCTGACATTGCTTGGAGATGATATCATCTGTACAACACCTACTTCCACAGGCAGGAGTCACAGCCCGGGCAGCAGTGACACTGCCTCTGAACAAGAGGGAAAGGAAAGGTTAGGGACAACTGGGAAATGGGACATGCAAAGCACCTGGATGGTATCAGCAAGCTTCAAAGGTGAGGGGAAAAGCCACTCCCCGCTCCCAAAGAAACCTCAGGTGATTTAGTTGACTCCTCCTTCCAGCCAGCCAAGATCACAGCCCCTGTCACCGGTGCTCCAGAGGACCTTGGCCACGGCTCCAGATCACAGAGCCCTGCAGGGAGCCCCTGCCAGGGGCTGTCTGGGCACAAACACACCCCCAGCTCCTCCCAGGGACACGGCAGGGGCAGCTCCTCCTATGCTGGATGTGCCTGCTCAGGGTGTTGAGATCTGGCCCTCCCTTCCCTTCCCAAAAGTTCCTCTTCTCCCTGCTCCCGCAGCTCCAGGTTTGCTGACGGTGAGCCAGGGCTGCTGGCATTGCCCTGCCGTTCCTCTTCCCCCACCAGGAATGGTCACATGGAGCTGCCCCGCTCCAACACCAGCTCTGGGCAGAGAAAGCCCAGGAAGCTGCTTCCCACCTCTTGGTCACTTTTACAGGCAGCTCAGAGCCTGGAAAAGGGAAGAGTCAACTCCTTCAAAACACCTGGAAATAGCCTCCACTTGTGTCCTGCCGGAGCCATCCCGAGGCTTTCCAGGAGCCAGCAGCATTCCCGATGGATCCTGCCCTCCCCACAGAGGCAGACTGGCCTGAAAAGGACTTCAGGAGTCTCATGACTGCTCCGTCAGCGCCTGCCAAGCAACGCCCCTCGGCACCACGCAGGGGTTCAACAACAGCCAGGGAAAAGCAGCAAGCCAGGGAAAAAACAGCAAGCCAGGGGGAAAAAAAGCAGCAAGGCAGCAGTCAGCAAGCTCCTACCTGCGTTCCTGGCCTCGGCAGGTCACCCCTGCAATCACTCAGCCTGTCTCTGGCCCTCTGTGAGCACTGGCAGGCACCGAGGCCGAGGTTCCTTTTTCAAAAGAAGGGGGAAAAAGATCCCCCTTTGATGGGCGGCCCCATACGGAGGCTCCGGCAACTGGGGAGGGGTCAGACACGAGGCCACTTCCCTCCCCGTGACCCCAGCGCCGGGGCGGCCACATCCTGCTGCCTCCTGGTGCCACGGCCCCGCAGCACAGCCCAACGTGGCTCCCAAAATCAGGGACCTCTCCGGTTTCCTTTCGGGGAGGCTGGGCTGCTTTCCCGGGAGATGACACCAAGTCCAGCTGCACCCGTGGGTGAGGAGCCTGTGACCCCACGGAGGAGACGGGACGATCCCACTTCCCTCCCGAGTCATTCCCAGTGTCCTTAACCCTGTTGCTCAGGCCAGAGTTCCCAAGACAGGACACAAAAGCCCCCAGGTTTCACAAAGCAGCCCCAATACCTCGGGTGCACTGAGCACTTCGAGTGAAAACTTCAGTTCACAGAGTGAGGCCAAGAAGAAAAGCGGCTCCAAACAGGCAGCTCGCACGGAGCACCAGGGACACACACGCACATTTTTTCCATAATTCCACACCCCTCCTTTCACAAATCCCCTCCCGTGGCTGTTCTGCACTAGCTCAGTGTCTCGAGACAGGACGATCCTGGTTTGCTAAGATCAAAGAGAGATTTTACTGCGGAGAGCCGGGAGCAGAAGGACTCCAGCGGCCGGGCTGGGTGGCACTGATGGCAGTCCCTGGAGCCAGCCTGGCAACCAAACAGCGCTTGTCCTTCTGGGGCGAGGCTTCCAGCTGCTCCCTAGGATGGGTCTGTGATATGAGGAGCGAAGGTCTACCCTGTGCTTACCTCGGGAAGGGCAAGGCAGGGAGAGGAGGGCTGAGTGTGGCTGCAGACAGCCTGGCCATTCATAATCCCGGCCAGCGGCACTTCCACGTCAGCCGCTTCCTGTCTGGCACCGCCTCCAGCCTCCCGGCCCGGGGAGCTGCCAATGTTTTCCCAAAAGCTAATCCTTCCCCTCTGCAAGCTGGCTTTGCTCCTGCAGGATGGCTCCATGCTGCTGCAGGACAGCCAGGCATGCTGTTACCCTCGGTATCACCTTCCTTTTCCATTCTCCATGCTCTGTCCCAGAAGCTGCTGGAAGTTACTGGAGAAGGAGCAGCTCGGATTCAGCTGCACCTCCAGCCCCAGGCTGGGATGACACCAGCCCCTTAATTCTGCTGCTCTGCAGGACAACATCCACATTTTTCTTTTGGAATCTGCTTCAGTAGCAGCCTTCACAACAAAACCAGGGCACATTGGAAATGCTGAATTCCCAAGGTCTGGGCAAACAAAGAGCCTTTTGTGTTTCACCAGAGTCAGCTTTAAGAAAAGTCCTGCCAGTCCCAGCCACCCCCAGGCCCAGAGATTCCAATCTGCTGCACAATTTGGAAATTCCCAAGTAAGAAACTGCAGAGACATCAATTCTCCGGCCACTTCCCACATCTCCTGGCCCTTCCAGGAAAGAGGCTGGCTTAGGAGAAGGAAAGAGGCTGGTTTGGAAGGAAAGAGGCTGGCTTAGGAGAAGGAAAGAGGTTGACTTTCCAGGAGCAGGACAGGTTCTTTTCATGCCCCTAAGCCACACAGAGGCAGAGCCCATCTGCATGAGAAAAAGAACATAATAAAAGACAAAAATAGTTATGCTGGGCTTTAACTGGCATCTCCTTTGCCCCTGCAAGGCTGAGCATTCCAGCCAATTCCAAAGTCAAGGTAGTTAATGGAACAAAGGGAAAAACCCTGTTAAATGAAGCCCTAGCTGGGATTGCAGAAGATCCAGTGGAGCTGAGGGCAGCAGCTCTGGCAGAGCTCATTCAGATAACTCGATCCATCCCGGGCAGATGGAGGAACAGGCAGTTCACTGCTTGGCTCTGAGCTCAGGATTTAGATCCAGACCATGGGTAATGGCAGGAGGGACGTTATGGATGACACAGCTCACACTGCAAAGGGATGGATGCTGAGGGAGCAAGTGCCAGAGAGGCTGGATAACCCTGCCTGGCAGAGAGGGAAGGCAGGAAGACTGAATTTCCAGCGTGGTTTGTCCCCGGCTTTCCTCCCTGCAGCCACAGAGGGGACAAAAGTAAGTTCTGCAAGAGGTCCCCTCCTGGTTCCCCTCCCACAAGGGGAAGGTCAGGCAGCAGATGCTGCAATCCCAAGGTGTTCCCGTGGAGCAGCAGTGACTGCAGGGAGCCCCGGGTGTCACTGAGCCAGGGCCAGCTCTGCTGCCTCTTCCGTGACATCTGCATCCATTGCAATGTCAGAGTCTCCACGGATCCCGGCGGGACCGGGCTGCGTGTGGAGGCAGAGCTGATCCCTGCAGGGCTGTGCCGAGCTGACAGGCTGGGTCATGACTCCAGCACACGGGTTAACTGCACACACAAAGGTTTCTGGGATAAAGCATGCCAGGGGCAGCTCCCTCTTTCCCAGGTCCCAGGCCTGCTCCTTTGGGAAGACCCCTCGCTGTCCCACCACAGGGCTGTCAGGGCACTCTGGTGTTTGAGTCCCAGCTGAGCTGCTCAGCTCTCCCTGCAGGCTCCACAGAACCATCCTCACTGGACAGGGATATTCTGGAGCCAGCAGCAGTTCCATCTCCTCTAACTCTGGGATCTGCCCCCACCCAAGTGAAAGGTAACACCAGTTTGGAGCACAAATTTTGCATTAGGAGGATATAAATGACTACAGCAAATGGTACTATTTTAACAGCCACTCTGGGGTCCCAGGGAGTGTGGGATCTCCCCCTGGGGTCCCAGGGAGTGTGGGATCTCCCC